GATGGTAAAAATTCAAATTCAGTATATACAGTAAGACCATTGTATAAACTCTTAACTTCTTTCCACTGGTTCTTAGTCTCCCTCTCCAGTTCATTAAATTGTGTATTCTTGTGTATTCTTTCAGTGATAGAGAAAATAAGCTTGAATGTATATTGAAAATGTTTTCATATTATAGTTCACTTATTAGTTATTGCAATTTTGTGCAAAATGTCCCAGAGAGGGCCCATAAACAGGCTGTAACATGTTTTTAGAACAACCACAATTAACATCTTGAGTCCATAAATTTGGAATGAATTTTAAGGATTAGTTTAGGAAGTTTTGGGGCTAGGGTTTGGGGACAAGCCTTTGGAAAACTTTATCAAGACAACACACACCTGACTTTGCCCACACCTCCCTATCCGTGATCACTGGCTGCCTTTCTCCATTCCTTGTCTTTTATGATACCGCAGCCCTGAACCATTCCTCACCTTCACACATCAGACTGCTTAATGATTCAAAACCCTTGTTGGGGCAGGTCCCCCTGGTGGGACTACGCTCCATTTCCCCAGCAATCCCTGACCACACGTTGGTTCAACAGCTGCCCCCTACGTACCTGTTTAACTTCTATTTCTTTTCCTTCTCAGGCACTTTCATCTCTAGGAGCTAAGTTGCTATTAGGGTCCCCACTTCTCAGCCCCCAGTTTCTCGTGTAAACTTCAACCTTTGGCCGTACAGTATTTATTTAAATTACCCACTCAGGAGTTTCCTTTATCAACTGTAAAGGACCCTGTTTGCCTTCATTTTATTCCCAGGGCCTGGTACATGGTACCGGCTCCACACACACTTGGTGGACTGAAATGGACTATGACACGTGACCATATAATCTGGGGCAACACTAAGTTCTTCTCTGGCTCTTCGGCTCTTCTATTTCTGTTCCCGCCTCACGGTAGTGTCCTATTCCTCCTCACTGGATACTTGTGGCATTAAGTTCTTTTCAATTACTCTATCAAATTCTGACCTCAGCTCCTTCAACAAAAATAACTAACGCCTGTTCATAGTCCTGTCACTTCATGGGGTTTTAGAGCTTAATAGTTAATAAGGTCTCAAGGCAGCAGTCGAAACTTCAGAGTTCAAAAGAGTCAGCTAAGAGATTTGGTTGGGAAAAGTTCAAGTCCTCACTCCGGAGATTCTGCCGTATTGATCTAAGGGCTCAGGGATGGGTGTTTTTAAACAAACACACCTAGATGATTCCAAAACATGTAGCCCATGGACAATATTTTAAAAAAATACTATCTTAAGACAAAAGGATAAAGGATAAAGCTGTACTAGGATCTTCAAAGTCTTCAGAACAACTCACATAAGTGGATGTCACTGCTGACCTCACCTACCATCTCCATTACCCTCTGCAGGGCCTTAACAGAGATTCAAATGGCTGTTCACATTTAAAACTTAACACTTGTGGAGCTAACCAATGGAATCCTTGATAGTAATTAATGTTGAAGAGAAACAGTGCTCCTGTATTTCAAAAGATTTCAAATGAGCTTGAGTGAGCCGGTCTTCTTCCTGTTCTCACTTTTCCTTGAACCCTAGTCCTAACAAATGAAGGCACCAGATTCATCTGCCCTGAGTCCAGGGCAGGCAGCACAGTCCCTGGTACCACATGATTGTAGAAACATCCTGGTTGCATTCTCCCGTATACAGCAGTATAATTACCGCCGAGGCTGGAATTCTAAGATAAACACAGCATTACTTAAAAGGCCTTGCGGATAAGCAGTCTTAGCTTTCGGTACTTTCAAAACACCATGGAAGTTAGAAAATGAGAAGGAAGGGCTGTACATTCAACTAATCTCCCTTAACTACACTGCAGAGTTGGAAAGAGTTCCTACTGCTTTGGAGGGAAGGCCGTGACAACCAGCTTACTGCTGAGCCAGAAAATAGTAAAGGCAAAGCAGGCGGAACAGAGCACTTTGCAACAATTAGGGTGCTGCTGCGTGGGAGGTCTAAGAAAAGGAGAGGCGGCAAATGTTTAGATACCTTGAAAAGAAGCAGGACTGTGTTTAAGTAAAAAAAGTACCAGTGTTGAGTTTTCACAGAGGATTAAGAGTTCTGCTCCCCTGACGCTCTGCTGTGTTTCTAATTATCCATGTTAAATTTTGGCCCCTAACAGTGAAACTGTGACTGTGTCTTTCCCACTCCTACCACAGAAATGTTCTTCTCTTTCTCCATGTGTTTATTTGTTTGGTCATTCACGTATCAATCAAATATTGCACTGAGCATCCACTAACTATCAGATACTGTTTCAGCTTTTGGAGTGTTTCTGGAGTGTTCTGGGACGATGTTGCAGTTTTGGGAGTTCAGTGGAGGAGATGGCAAATGAACAGTTAGTATGAAGTAGTACGGGTATTACAAAAGCAGAAGTTCAAGGTACTTAGCAGTTTAGAGTAATACACAGAGTTCCTGAATTTAACAGGGGTTGGGGAAGCTGAACTTTTTTCTTTTTGCTTTTCTTCCTCTCTTTTCTTTCTATTCTTTTATTACTGACTTCTGAAGGGAATAGGAATCCAGATGTGATGGCCACAAGACAGTACCTTCTGTGGCTACAGCTTGACAGGGGAGGCAAAAAGAGAGGGCTGCGAATGTGCTGGGTGGCTTTTCACTGTCACATCACACAGGAAGATGGCACGGTAGGACGGGAGAGCCAGCATGCAGAGCACAGTGTCGCTTCTGTCTTTCACTCTTCAGATGGCAGGGCTTGGGCAGCTGTATTGAGGAAACTCAGAGGGCAGTGGACTTTGGGGATAAAGATCTAGAGTATAGCCTGAAGACTCCACACGGAAATCACACCGGACCAATGGTTAGGAAGTAAGTCAGAATCATCTGGAGGCTTTTAGTAAACAACAATATCCAAGCCTACTCCAGATAAGTAAGAAGCAGAATTTCCTGGGACAAACTCTGACATCAGTTGTTTAATATAAGTTTCCCACCCCTGGGGGATTCTAATGCACAGCTGGCACTTAGACTCCTTTAATTAGACAATGGGATTCATTTGCGGTCAGGTTTTTCTGGGCTCTTAAGCTGCAGTTCTTAGAGGTATAGTCCTATGTGGGGCACAAGTCACTATGCAGGCTTCTGTCTGTAGGGCTGAAATTTGTGAGATCAAATCCTTTGTGGAGACCAAGAGATTCTTCAAACTGAGGAACCACCTGAGATCTATAGGGCAATATCTCATGTGGAGTTGGCTGGACCCAGTATTTGCTGGGATAGGATCTCGAGATTTCCGAACTGTGTTTCTTGTGAACAGTACTCTCCTAGGGAGAGGTGAAAGCTTTTGCACTTTCATCATTCCTCTGTTCCTAGCTCTGGTGCTAGTGATACTGGACAAGTGGCACCCCAGCCAGCTCACCCGAGCAGGGCTGGGGGATCTGCCGCCTCCGTCTTGGCGGCAGCAGCTGGCAGAGGAACCAGCAGGCTGGAGAAAGCTGGGGGGGGGGGACTTTCCTCCCCCCAATGGAGGCTCCAGTAGCCAAAAAGGACCGGACACAAGCGGGAAGACACTGGCACCTCCTCTTCCTCCCTAATTGGTCCATTTTCAAAACCTGCTCCTCATTGGTCTATTTTCAGGAGCTGAAAGCTCACTGGACAATTGCCCCTATATAAACCCCTGAGTAGAGAGCCAAGGGGCAGATTGCCAGAGACCATTGAGGGAGAGAGAACAGAAGAGGAAGAGCTGTAACACTTGGATCCTGCTCTGCAAGAAAGTTTGGCTCTTTGTAAGAGCTGTAACACTTGCATCCTGCTCTGCAAGGAGGTTTGACTCTTTCTAAGAGCTGTAACACTTATACCCTGCTCTGCAAGGAGGTTTGGCGCTTTGTAAGAGCTGTGACACTTGTATAAAACCTATCTTATCCTGCTCTGCAAGGTTTAGCTCTTTGTAAGAGTTGTAATACCTGTTAAATACAACCTAACTTCCATCCTGTGGTCCACTGATTCATTCATTGAATCGTCGAGACCAAGAGCCTGGAAATCCAATATCAAAAGTCCAGTATCACTAGTATTCACTTCCAGGCCTTGGGTTGGCACACCTAAAAGTAGCAGTATCTGAAGTGTCAGGCTCTTGTGGGTGCTATTCCATCTAGTTTTCTCACTTTTTCCTGCTTCTTACCTTGAAATGAGAGACTGGCAGGTCTACCCAGAGGAAATCAAGGTATGCTGCTGCAGGAGAGTAAGTGGAGAAAAGAGAATTCTGAGTAGCCACAGAGCAGTGCAGGTTAACTAAGGCCAAGAAATTAAAAGCTGAGGACATGTAAGTTTCAAGAGCGGCATACTTTCTTGTCCTCATGTTTCTCACTGGCCCCTCTAGGATATAGGTTTGGAAAGAACTCATGTAGCAGCAGATGATAAGGAAACACTGGGCTTTTGCAGATTTGGGGGAAGAAACATGAGGCAAGACAATTAAGTTTCTTGATGTGAAACTTAGGCCTTGTGAGTCTGAAGTTTATATTGGAGACTGGACAACTGGAATGGATTGACTCACACACTGAAAAGCTCAACCAGAGAAATCTTTTGTCTCTTCCATTGTATCTGTCCTTTTACCCCCAAATATGGAAATGTTACTTTTGGTTGAGCATGGTACTGAATAAGGGAACTGGCAATTATTCTATAATGAGTAGCTATAGTATTTGCTTGTCCTGATCTTGTGATGTGAGGCTGATGCTGTATTAGCCTCCGTATCCTCTTAAGCCTCTGGAATGCTGAGAATGCTGCACACACTCAGTATTTTGGAGCCATATGGACAG